GAGTAGCAGAAGGTCGGCATGCTGATTTTACGACTTGCTGCAAAATGAGGAGTGGTGGTAGTGGTGACCTCAGCGCCCCGAGAAGACGCCTTGATGGCATGCCGCGGAGAAAACATGGCGGAAAGCCACTAATCGCCTTTCCGTAGGTCCGCTTGAGGCTAGCCAGCCGAAGCCGCAGTTGACGGGCCGGCCGCTTGGTCTGCATTCGGCGGGCCACGTAGGCCCATGTAATTCGTAAGCCCTCCCTTTCGAATTGGAAGGCGATCTACACCAGCAGCTTATCTTCAGTGTCTGTGAAGGTAGTGCGCATTAGTCTTGAGTACACTATAGAAAAATGGGAGGTCGGATAGGTGCATTCGTCTTGCCTTTTGTATGTTCTGGTGACTGGCTGTCAGGCGATTGACCGCTAGATCCATGGTACGACCGCGTAGAAAGGGCCGATTACGGTCGTTGGAGCAATAAAATACTGTGCGATGACCAGACGATCCAAAATTACCTTGAGTACACTATAGAAAAATGGGAGGTCGGATAGGTGCATTCGTCTTGCCTTTTGTATGTTCTGGTGACTGGCTGTCAGGCGATTGACCGCTAGATCCATGGTACGACCGCGTAGAAAGGGCCGATTACGGTCGTTGGAGCAATAAAATACTGTGCGATGACCAGACGATCCAAAATTACCCCCAACCTCTTTTTTTCACAGCTGCGATTGGTAGTTATAAAACACGGTTGGCAGAGTTGGACCTTGTTTTGGTAATGGTGTTAAAGGGCGAAAAATGCGCCCTCCCACCGCGAGGGCGCATTTTTTTAAGGGTTAATACAAATAATAATGTAATAACTGCCGATATAGATGATCGTATTGCTAATGGCCATCATGTATGGCACGTTACTTGAGCATCCTTTTTTTGCTCGATCATTAGAGACAAAAATAGTAGACATCATGGCAAACATAAAACTGTTAAAGTGCTCTTTGAACACACGGCAGAAAGAATTTGCAACATTTGATGTTGCTAGACCGATAAGGGGAATGAGTAAGCAAATCTGCTTCTTATATCCCTGTTTTTTAAGGACATTTGGCTATTTCATACTAGTATTGGTCCTTTTTATAAGACCAAAAATGCTAGAGCAAAAATATCGGGACAAAAATGTTAGAACAAAAAGCAGCTTAAAGTTTGGCATACTTTCGCAGTTTATCGAGGTACAAAACTCA